ATTATTCATGTGTCTGCTGGTCAATCATAGGGAAAATACTTACTGGAGAGGGGTGCCAGTCTTCTTTGGGCTAGCTTGCTAGTGCTTGCTACTTTTGCAGGCTTTTTAGAATGGGAAAACAGGTGGTCATTGTACTAATAGTGGAAAAACAACTTAAATGATGTGAGGATTATGGGTAATAATGCTGGGTTTACCAAGTAAGGACAATTGGTCAGCTTGTTAGTAAGTGAAGTTACTTAATCACATGAGAACAAATGCTGCAAAAGGAGTTGTCCAGAACAAATATCCATTGACATATTTCACAAGTTTTAATCCTTTAAAAAATTTCATGTAACTGTTTGAGCAATGGCTTGAGCTAAACATAAAATCCTTTTTAACATAAATAGGTAAATTATTTTCTCTTGCCCCTTCCTTTCCTTGTCCACTTAGACATGCCTACATGTTTCCACTAGAACCTGAAACAAAATGAGGTACCTTTCTAATAGACGTTGGAAGAAAAAAAAAAAAATCCTGAAGTATGTAGGTTTATGGGGAATAGAGCTACAGACTGTGGTGCTGTTGATGTCTTCAGCAGATAGAGCTACTGTAACGAGACTGTACTCTAAATTCTCTGTATTGCATACATTCTTAGCTACAAGCTTTCAATTATTATCTGTTTTATTTTTACCTGCTCATAATGCTAAGTGAAAAATAATGAATTCCACTTACTTTCATCATTTGAGGCTCTGTGAGTGAGCAGCTCGTCATGTTTTGGTCTACTTGAAAAACAAGCAAGCAAACTTGTTTCTGTAGTTACGATAGTCTCATGATACGATGGTCTCATGATATAAACAGGACAGTGTTTGGCAGGAATAGTCATGTCCTATGGTAGACCAGCTGATATGCTGTGCAGCTCTGGGAGGAAACAAGCTGAGAGTCACACAAGTCATTTCTTAGAAACCAAAGCAGCGATCTTGCTTGGGAATAGATTGTTTTAGAAGCCTGCACAGGCTTTTGGTGAGCTTTATTCCTGTGACTTTTGGTGTATCACGCTTTGTAAAGCAACAGATGTACTTCTGTGTTAGTATTAAATCTGTGTATAGTGTCATGTAACTAGTTAGTATAAGTGCACTTGTTAATAGCAGTGTTTTAATATGGCTTTCATGTGTGTGTGTCTTCCATTAAAAAAAAATACAGCCTTCTTTCCTCTATCAGATGGTGTTTTTCTGTGCTGAAGTCAACAGGATTAAGTTAGAGAAGTAAAAAAAAAAAAAAAAAAAAATCAAACAAAACTCAGTAGGTTATGGGATTATTTTTTGTCCCAATACCAATATAGTTTATTCTTGAAAAAATGTGAGCTGATAATGTATGATTGATAATCGTAAGTGACATGACAGATCATTAGTAATCACAATATTCATTTGACTTAAACCAGTGGAGCTTCTTGTGTGTGTGCGTGATGAAGAGGAATAGCTGTGTGGATTGGAACACGCATGGTAAAATGAGATGCAGAAGTTTCGTACATCTGCCTGAAGGGGTTAAAAGGAGAGAAGGGAAAAGATGATTTGCATAAGTACTTATTTGCACATGTGCGTGTTGTTTTTTAAAGATTTCTTTTTGGAAAGCAGCTATTAAAAAAGCTCTCTTCATTGCGTACATAGCACGGGATTTGGTACTTCAGTGAGTGAGGCAGTGTACAGCCTTCATTACAACAGCAAATACTGAAATGTTAAAAATAGATCAAGCTTTAAGAATCCCAGATATTTTCAAATAACAAAGAGTAATTTATGTGGGCTCATTTTGCACTTTGACAAAATATAGAGGCGCTTTTGTACTATGATTAGCAAGGGTGCTGATGTCAGTTCTCTTGTCTAGCTTTTAGCTTTATTCTGCTGCTAAATTGTGCTTTGTACTGTAATCCAGAGAACCTTTGTATCTGCCTTATTAGTGTGTAGTTTATGGAATTGCTTTTGTTTTTGAATATAATCTGTGCCAGTTCCAGTGAGTGTGACTCATTATATGACTGAGATAAACATTCACATATGTACTATGTGAAAACTCTTCAAAAATAGTAGCAGGTGCTGCTAGGCTAAATTCTATGTTTTAAGTATTTAATAGTTGCTATTCTGTAGCCAAAAGGGCTAAAAACAAATTCTGTTTAGCTGGTTGATTTTCTGAATTTGAGTGCTTTTAACTCATTAATGCTCCACAGTGATTGGTGGGATTGATCAGACAAATTTTTCACTCGTTAACACAGTATTAGAATTGAACTTCTGTGAAGTGTCTTGGTTGGTACACAGTTTGTTTTTGGTCACAAATCACAAGACAAATCAACCTTACTTCTCAGTAGCTTTTTCCCCCTCTGATCTTCTCAGTTAGGCACTGAAAATGTCATCTGGATGACTGAAGGCTGAAGTAAGAGCTTTGCAGTCCGTTCTTAACTGTCTGTGGTCAGCCTTGACTGAAGAGAATCCTCTTTACTGAAGTTTCCTGTTATCAACAGAAGTTGAAGTTGTCGTTTGGAAATAGGAAACAAATGAACATTTTGCTGGTAGTTGGGTTTCTATTACATTGTGCTTAGCAGCTGTGTTACCTGAAGATGCTCCTACTTGCAGTCTAAGTTCACATGCTTCATCTGTTCCATTTGCCACTTGTGCATTTTTCCCTCAATTATCTTGTTGGGACTGCAGAAATCACTGCTTGAGGCATTGGCTTGATCCACACAGTTCCACATTTAAAGGCAGCTTCACAGCTATACTACTTACTTTATCAAGTATAAAAGTTGACTAAGATCAAATAAACTTCAAGCAGCTTAGTAGGTGGGGAGTGAATCTCAAACCCTAATTAAGCTGTCTGGTGTTCTTCTCTTTCTCCCATTTTCTTTATTACCTTTTCATAACGTACTCCTGAGCTTGCTACCCAGAATAGCAGGTATGCTCCACAGGAACTGGTTTGTGTGGCTCCAGCACAGAGCTGGTGGCACTGGTTTGCAGCTGGAATTTGATGGCACAGTTCTGACTGTCCCTCATGCCTTCCTCCGTGAGCTTGTTCAAAGCTTACGCCTTCAGAAAAATGAAACCTTGCTCCCTGAGAAAACCCATTTGAATCTTTTCTTTAATATATTGTCAGAAACTTCTGTTTTTAAAGGTACATCAGTGTGTAAAGGATATCATGTCTTGACGTTCTCTGCTGATGCTGTTTCTTTCCTTTGGCCTTTGGTTCTGTCTGTAGTCTGGGTTAGCTGATACCTACTTTTTGGGGGGGTTTCTTGCATCGAGTTTTGTCCTAACAGGATTTGCTTGTTCACTTTAAAAGTGAGAATGAAACACAACTTTTCCAGAGGGCAGTTAGCAGTATGTCTGGTTTCTTTTACTGCGTGTTCCCATCTGTATCTAAAGAGAGATGGCTGGCAGGGAGAGGGAGGGGATTGTCCCCTTCTGCTCTGTCCTTGTGAAGCCCCATCTGCAATACTGCATCCGGGCCTGCAGCCCCTCACATAAAACAAGATACAGAGCTGTAGGTGTGGGTCAGAGGAGGACCTCAAATATGATCAGAGAGCTGGAGCACATCTCCTGCAAAGAAAAGTTGAAGGAGCTGGGCTTGTTCAGCCTGGAGGAGAGAAGGCTGCAGATAGACCTCATTGTGGCTTTCCAGTACTTGAAGGAAGGATATAAACGGACAGAATTTCTACTCAGGCAGACAGTGGTAGGACAAGGGAGTGTGGTTCTAAACTAAAGGGGGGGAGATTGAGGATAGATAGTTGGGGGAAATTTCATTTTGGAGGGTAATGAGGCAGTGGCACAGGCTGCCTGGAGAAAGCTGTGAGTGCCCCATTCCTGGAAGCACTCAAGGCCAGATTGAGTGGGGCCCTGGGCAGCCTTGAGCTTTGGGGGGCAGCCCTGCCCGTGGCTGTGGGGGTGGAACTGGTTGGTCTTTTAAGCTCCCTTCTGACCCAAGCCATTTTCTGAGAGACATTCTATGATTATCCTGGCATTTGGAGCTTATAGCAGAGAATGAGATGCTGTTGGTGGAGCTGAGAAACCAGTGTGCAGGACTGAGCAGGACAATAAGAATGCTTGTGGTGATATGAAGACAGATAAACGTGGTCTCTTTTGGTTTGCATTAGTGTCTTTGCAGTGATGTAGCATATTTAATTGACAAGAGAGAGTGGCCCACAGCAATGAAAGGCAATTGAGGGCTGACTAGAAGATGAGGCATTTTGCTTGTGTTTTTCTCTCTGTCCCAGTTCTTCAGATTTGCAGCATCCTGGAGGTTGATATAACAAGCACAGTAATTGTGAAGTTTTTTCTTCTGTGCATGACGTAATGCAGGGACTTTTATGAGGTATAAGGCTAGACCATTCGGTCATTCTTCTACCTCCCCACCTCTCTGATCTTTTCTGAAATAATAGGGTATGTCTTTCTTTTTAAAAACTTCTGCTGTAAAACATTACAAGCTTCTGAGTGCAAAGATTGCCTAACGTCAAGAGAAGTGTGCAGCGTGAACAGTGTACTCTTTAACTGCAGGTTGCTATTGTGGAGGCAGTATCAATTAAAAAAAAAAAAATCAGAGCTGGAATAAAACAGCCTGAAACAGGAGGTAGTGGAAATAAGACTTGATGGTAAATATCTAAACTTAGATGTGTTTCATTTTCTTAGGCATACAGCAGCTACTTTCAGAGGATTTGGGGGCTTTTTTCCTCTTCTCGCCTCCTTATTTTCTTTACTGGATTCATCTTTCATTATCTTTAAACAGTGGCTTAATTATATGATCTGCTTGTAAAAGCAAACTAAAATACAGAAGAAGTAAAGGTTCACTGTGGATTCACTGTCTCTTTAGTCTGCTGTTCTAATAATAAGTAAATTGCCTGCACTAAATTCAGCTAATTTAAGTGTCATCTCTTTAAATGGTTTTTGAACTAATTATTACTGAGTTGAGCTCAACCTGAAACAGTGTACAGAAGGTATTAAATTTAAATTATTATTTCCTACTTCTAATTTTTCTCTTTTATGAATTTTCAGGCATGGAAGAGGAGATGGTTTGTGCTTCGGAGTGGCCGTTTAACAGGAGATCCAGATGTACTGGAATACTACAAAAATGACCATGCCAAGAAGCCTATCCGTATTATTGACTTAAACTTGTGTCAGCAAGTGGATGCTGGATTAACATTCAACAAAAAAGAGTTTGAAAACAGCTATATTTTTGACATCAACACTATAGACAGAGTTTTCTATTTGGTGGCAGACAGCGAGGAGGAGATGAATAAGTGGGTTCGATGCATCTGTGATATCTGTGGGTTCAACCCTACAGATGAGGGTAAGTTTTTTTTTTTTTTCCCTCAGAAAGTGTCATGCCAACATGCATAGAACGTTTTGAAGACCAGATGACTAGTGTTAACATTCCCATGTTTTAAAACTCACGTGCACTGACTGAAAGTTTTCTTGCTCTGAAAGAATGTGAGCAGAACAGAGCCAAGTATTCACAACTCATTACAAATCAAACATGTCAGAGAAAAAAGGATGTTTCTTTTCTGTTTTGCATGATGTTAGGTCTTGAGAAATCTCTATGTAAAATCATGCAAGACAAAGATTGTCACCGAAGGAAATCTGTGTGGTGTAGAGCATGTGGCTCTGTGATCAGGAATGAGTGCAAAATGGCAGGATTCTGATATTGCTGTGCCTCCATCTGCTGTGCAACTTGGAAAAAAATATGCTCCCTGTACAGGCTGAAACAAACAAAAAATAACTTGTAGTTCCACACCATCCTGCTCAAATCCTACCAAAGCAGTCATTGTGTAGAACCAGTATTGTGGAAAGAAGGTGGTGTTAAATGCCGACAAATAGATCGTTGCCATTACTTGTCCTGAAACCATCCTTATTTATTATTATTCCTTCTGAAGGTTAGTGGGTGGCATGACTTTCTGTAGTTATGTGCATAGTCCCAAGAAAGATTAAGTAGGAGCAGTTAAGTATTATAAATTTAGCATACCAGAGAGAGAAGACTGGAATTAAATCCCTCTTTTTTTTTCTTCTGGGTTATGCATTGAGGGAGGGGAAAGAGTTTCTGCCTCAAATCTCTGAAAATGTCTGGAAAATATTCTTGCCCCCTCTCTGAGGGGCCCTTCTCTTTCTCCTTAATGAAGTTTTGAACTAAAAATTTGTTATAAGTCTATGGATTACTGCTCAAATCACAAATTCAGTGAAAGGTGTTTCTTTGATAGTTGCAGCATGTTTTGATGGCAGAGTATGACTAAGACCACCCACAGCACAGTATCTCTAAGTGACTGCCACGTGATTCAGTATTCAATCTGACAGACGTGTTACAGATGAGAGAAAGGTAGACGGGTGGTTGTTTCTTCATGGATAACAAACTAGTGCCCCAGTGCAGCTATGAATAGGAGACACTGAGAAATTATTGCTTCTGGGGACAAGCTAAGAGTCTGGATGTAAAGAGTACACATGCTTACTTGACTTCAGAAAAGAGCGCATGTTCACTGCATGAAATGGAAAAGCAGGCACCTCAAAACCGTGAGGCCTTTACTTTGAGAGATGGTTTTTGTTAATCCATTATTTTCTTTTGAAACATCTGAACTGAAGATTAAATCCAGTATGAATGCGAGGAGAGCTAACTGTGCCCCGTTTGGATCAAAATAGTTTTTAATTCAGTCAATTTTCGAGGTGTTCAATTTTATCAGTAACTCTTCCCTATTACTCTTCAGTTGCATGTTTAATCTTCAGCATTTAAGCATTTGCTGAATTATCCCAACCCTATCACTTTATGTAGTTGAAAGTTGACAATACTATCTGATTCATGGGTTTAGTTATGTCTTGCAATTCATAGAGAAAGAAGTTAAAAAAGAAAAACAGGAAAATCAGTTGCAGAGTGTCTGTATTTCAAAGTTCCTATTTTGTGTGATATATCTACCTGCTAACGGAAGAAAACAAGTCCTAGGCGTACTGAAGATCTGCAAGGTTATACTTCTTTTTGGAGAGTAAGTAGATAAGTTTGTGTTCTTTAGGCACTTTTACAAGTTGTGGAGTCTTCAGCTTTCTGATTGTATCAAATTGTGTTATGTAACAGTTCTTTTGAGTTAGGGCTTATGGTGATTAGGTTGTCTTTTAAACCTAGTGAGCCTGAAACATCAAGGAAATATATCCTTAAATAACTTAGACAATTCTATTTTGTAAAAAAAAAATGATGGGTGCTTCTTACTCTTTCTTCAGCAAATGTTTTTCTTTTTTGTTTCATTTTCAGTGTTGTTTTGTTTTCCGTATTGTCTTTTTTGAAAGAAGAGCTGTGTGTGAGCATGAATCTGAATTGCTTTATCATCAAGCTTCATACTGTATTCTTAGCATTCATATTTTCTGTGTAAGGTCATAATATAATAGGTATTGGCTTAGTCATTTAGAGGTTAAAATGTAACTTTAAGTGAGAATGTGTTGCCAGTTGCTTGTGTCACTAGACTTCCAAGCCTGCGTTCTGGGATGAAGAGAACAAATGGACACAAGAAATGGCCATTCTTCTCTGCTGGGCACTGTGGAGACCTCAACTGAATGACTGTGGTCTGATCCTCTAGGAGGATGAGGATAAATGTTTCAAGAGCAATGAAAATAATGGAAATGGGTTTTTAAGTGATCAATGAGTAGAATAATTGACGAGTTTGTTCTTTACAGGAAGAAAATACTTGGGGAGGAGTGTAGAAGGATATGGGTCAGTTGTTATCTAATAATGTGAGAGGTAACTTGTTTCATTTTCAGTGAGAAGTATAATGGTAAGGAAAACTTTCTAAGGGTACGTAAGCGTAGGTTCTGAAACAAGGTGCTGAAAGCCCTTCCCTCCAATTCAGAAGCTGTCTGTGGTGAATGTTTTATATATAATCCAGCTCCATGTTTTTGTAATTTAATGAATTGCACCCTTAGCAACGTGGGGGAAGGGAATATGATCTTACTAGATGCAAACATCTTAGTTGCATATGGTCATTTGAATGACCAAGTGAAACAGGAGGGGAGCGTTGAAGAAAAGGAAAAAAAAAAAGATAGTGAGATTTACAATTACATTGACAATAAACTTGAATGCAGTACAGAAAACTTCAGTCATCATAAGGATGTACTGTGGCTTATGCTTTGAAAGAGCTGCAGTTTTTTTCACACACAGTGCTTTCTAAGTTCGTAAAATTCCTGTTCAGGGAATTGCCATCTGATATATGCTTCTCATGCTTTCTGTGTTTTGAACAGTAAATTTGTCAAACAACCAATTTTTTTTAATCATGTTCTGATAATACATGATTGCTTGATGATAGCATGGATGTAAAAGCGATAACTGGCAGGATGAACTTAACTCCATGTTTCTACCTAATTCAGCTCCTTCTGTTTTCACCAATATGAAATAAGGCTGCGCAGCCAAGCGTCATTGCTACCGTGCTGTGCTGAAGATATCTGTATCAGATCGGGATATCTCTGTGCTTCCTGTAGCAGAAGTATAAAACAGAAAACAGGTCTTGCCATTAAGAACTTAGCGTTTATGATAGGAGACCTCAACGTATAAGCAGGGGAGTAGGAAGAAGTAAAAGCAAACTAAGCAGTTTTTATCACAGTGACAGGTAAGTTGACTTAGTCCTTCAGTTGTTGGGCTGTTGTTGAACTCAGGGATTATTGCATGGATGTTTGATAAATCAAGTTGGATATTAGAGGTGTTCAGGATACCTTTCCCGCATGAAGGGTTAGCCTATAAGACAGTTTTTTGTTTCTTATCAAGTGGATGATAGAGGCTGGCAAATCAAAATTGCCAAGTCAGTAACATGATGATAATTGAGGACTCTGGTCATGAAAATTCTCATAAGTGAGACATAGATGAAGATTCTGGAGGAATATAAAAATTGTAAGGATAATAAACTCAAAACAAGCCTTTTTGATGGACTGTGGGTGAGGCAAGAACAGAATGGTAGAATGGAAATAGGGTTCTCTTTGTTAGACATGCAGTGGAAGCAGTCTGAATGAGGGTTGGTTTGTTTTAATGGGTGTGATGTACTGCACAGTAGAGATGATGTACGTAATGATAACCTGTGATTTTTGACACTTGTTGGGTATGACTAACTAGAAACAGAGCCAAACCTGCTCAGAGATGACGTGCCAGGAGCATGAATGACTGGGAACCCTGAATGGAGTAAAAAAAAACATGAAAAGACTGAGTTAAGCATAAGGAAGAGGAATCCTCTGATAGGGTTTGTGAGTTAGTTATCTTACAAGTGAAGCAATAGGTTTGGAGGGAGTAGTGGCCCAAGAGCATATCATGTATAGGGTTTTTTGGAAACTTACTTTGAGGAAGTATCAGTGAGATGTAGACCTGTGTTTTTTTTGGTGAGTGTGGACTTGCTGAGAGAAATGTCAGAATAGACTTTGATGGGAATTGGCATAGTTTCCAGAATTCATCTGGAGAAATTAGAGTGGTAGTAAAATTAGAAGAAGTGGGTTCAGAGAAGGACCTGAAATTTGGCATTGCAGGTGTGGTAGAGGTGGCTGCTGGCTAAGGAACTGAGTAAAGGTTCACAAAGCTGAGATAGTTATTCTCCATTATGGAAAGGAGAAAGGGAATACATCAGAGGACACTGAGATGTCTTCAATTTCAGATGATATGCCTAAGAGAAGACAAATAGAGCACAAAATCTGCAGTGGTACCTCTTACTTTGTAAGAGTATGAGGAACAAAAAATGCTTTAAAAAATGCAATGCAGTCAAAACCTTAGTCTTGAATGTTTGGTAATTTTATCTTAAATTGTCAATTGCCTTCAGCAGAAAATCATACGAAACGTAAGTTTTCTTTTCCTTGAGGAAATACAGCCTCAATATAATTAACGTAGGCAGTTAGCTTAGTTTTTCTCTGTGGTACCTGCTGAACATCTTTTGTGGCATTAAAATCATTTGATGAGTTACTTGGACAAAGGAATTCGAAGAGAGTGGGTTGCAAGGTTGTGCAGATAGTTACTTATGAAGTCATGAGGTGCTCACACAAGCTTTTGTTTGCTTTAAGCAGAAAGCTTCAGAATTGAAGCTCTCTGCATAGATTTCACATTGATTTAAACTGATCGTTTATGCTGAAAATATCTCTTAGCAAAATTCGGTGTGGAGAAGCTGACAGTAGAGGAAACTCTGGCAGCGTATTTCAGAATGTATCTTATTACATGAAGGAGCAGAGATAATGATTTCACTGACTTAGCAATAAAAGGAGGAGTCCTCTGAAGGAATAGAGTGAAGTATATAATCATACAGATTCTTTGTATTTTACATATGTGCACCTTGCATAGTGGATAGATGTAGGAAAAAAAGAGTAACGTAATGGTACATAACTTGTACTTTTACATGTCTTTTATGACTCCTACTTGTAATTGAAAATTCTTGTACAAGGGTATTACTCTAATATTTTGTTGTTTCAATGAGAACATATCTTGTACCAATAATCCATTTCCTTACTCTTCAGTTATGATTTTGGCATTTAATGAAATGATGCTTCTTGTAGAAAACAGACTGCATTACGCATTGAAACTATTTCTAGTATTTACATTATCAGAATGTTGAGACTTTAGCATTGCATATCACAACATAGGAAGAAAAGTTGACTTAAAGCCATGAGCGCTAAGAACAAAAACCATCCCTAAATGCAAATTCCCACACTCAAATCTTCTTAATTCTTCATATTATTTTTATTCAGAAGCTTTCCTTTTTACCTCATGGATTTTTTGATTATTTAGGTAATGAGGTAAATATGAAAATAGCCATGAGAAGAAAGCGTAAGTTCTATATTAAGTGATGCCTATAGCTGCTCATAACAAACCAAGTGAGGAAAGTTAAAACTCCTACTGCCTTCTGAGAAAGCTGCTTGTTGTAGCTGCACTGAATGCAAGAATTATAAAAACAAAATAGGATTCTTTTTACACTACTTTGCATGTTAAATATTCTGGATGTTTTTCCAGCTCGCAGTTTCTCAAAGCAGTCGTAGTGTCTGAGCTCTGGGAACAAACCAAATGACTTACAGCGTTCTTTGGTGTGCAGATGACCCCTTCCCTAAAAAATCTGCTGGTTAGAAATGAAGCAAGCTGATTATTGTACTCTTTGAAATCATAATAGGCTGCTGGGAGAAACCCTATTCTTCGTATCAGCTTCTGAAGTTAGTGGCTAAGGAGAGTGTTTGGGAGGGTATGGATAGGCAAACAACATTTATTTGATCAGTGATAAGTCATTAACGTGACTGTTTTCTTTCTGTAAGTAAAATTTTAAATAGGTTGACTACATAAAGTGAATAAGTGGTCCAGCAGGTGAATACATGAAACTGCGTTCAAATGGCCTTTAAATCAGGCCATAGCCTACTCGTCTTAACACACAAAATGCCTGGAAAAACAAATAAGTAAATAAAACAGGTCTGTGCAAGGACTCAGGGATCTTGTCAAATTGTAACTGTCAAAGTAAATGTGGCATCTTGTCACGAGGAAAATGACCTTAATGATCCATTAATGTTATTGGGCTCCAAATCCTTGCTCAGAGCCTTCTGGGCAATCTGACAGCATTAACTTTAATACTCAGCAACAATCAAATGTAAGTGGTTAGGATCGAAATTGAATAAAACACTGTTGGGTGTTTGCAAATTAATAAGTATGTCCCAGATTTTCTACGTTTTACACAATAGTTGGCTTCCTTTCTCAGAAGGGAATTAGGCAATCAGTAGAGCTGTGAGAGGTGAGGGTGAAGAGAAACAAGTACTGCCGTGAGGTAGTTTCTGTACCAAGAAAAATTAAGCAGCACCAAGTCAGTAAAGCAGTGGGAAAGTTCCACAAAGTTGAGTATGGATATTATGAATAGGGAATGACTGTTCAGTGCTTCTCTGAGGAGAGGAGCTGAAATGAGGCTGCCAGGCTACAGGTTTAAAATTAAAGGAAATAGTTTTTCATGATGTGTAATATCATAGTATCTTATGGAACCATTGCTACAGGATGTTGTGGAGGTCCAAAAATATAAACAATAAGAAATTCAGAAAGAAGTCTACCAGAGCCTGGTAAACAGAGAATGTGGATGCAGCCTCTGCGATGGGATGTTCTGAAGCTGTAGGGAGCCAGAAACTAAGGGCATGATGCCAGACCTGCCTTGCTGCTTGTGCTCAGTTTGTCTGTGACACGCCGCTATTGCAGATGGCGTTGCAGATTTAGAGACTCCGGATCTGAGCCAGTACGTGTAGCCTACTGGTCATCTTCACATTGTCTCATTTCACCATTTACTGTATAGCCAAACTGTATTTATTTGTCACAGGCTTGTTTTTTTTTTTTTTCTTGTAACACAAAGTAATTCTTTCGTACTCTGAACATGGCTGATGCATCGGTCCTTTTTCAAGCTTCTTGATTGTGGTGGTGGTTTTTTTTTCCCCTGGAAAGTTACCATTGAATCTTTTCTTGGGAATGGCAACGTGTGGTTTGTTTAAATACATCAGGCTCATGTAGACATGCATCTTACCATGTACCTGCTGGGCTCTCCTGACTACCTACAGTCTCATTGACACACCTCTCTTCCCTGAGAGCTTCATGGGCATCGTGTTTGATTTCTTTTTTCCCTTGTGTGATCTCGGCACCAAGCAAACCTAATGGTGCGAAGGTTGTGTTTAGTCAGGGGCCAAGGAACAGGGGGTGGTGACTTGGGTACTCTGAAGCCCTTGTGAATCTTGCTTCTTGCTAAATATGTCTGGAGAATGGTAGTGTATCTGACAGGAAACCTTTTTCTCTCTCTCCTACTCATACATAAGCTTGGCTTGTGGTCCCCAGTTCTGGAGGTGGCAAAGATCTACTTTTCCCTTCTCCCACTGTGTCTTTTCCAGGAGCAAGCAATATGTGCCTATTACAGTCATTCTGATGCCCCTCTGCAACATAAGGGGGAATAAAGAAAGATCAGTTGTATTTAATGTAGGTGTCTCATGAGTGCTTCGTAGAGCTCTTCAAGTTTTTAAATGGTATATTTTTCATATTTTAATATTTTAAAAAATAGCTAAGAAACAGTTCTACTGTTGTGTGTGTGTGTGTGTGTGTGTGTGATCACTGGGTGCAGTCTGGTGTTCCCTTTGTTATGCTAATTTAATGGATAGCTCAGGCCCAGCCTTTTTTGTAAAAACTTTTTTTAGGCTTTCCTACCTTTTCAGGTAGGCCAAGTTGAGAAATTTTCATATATCTTCCACCCACGTGGGTGTGGTGGGATTTAATTTCTGAGCCTGTGCAAGTGCTCTGGGAGTTCAAAGCAAGTACTTTTATTCCTATTTCCATGTCTAAATCACTCATACCTTGTATAGACAGAACTGGATGCAGGAGGGCTATGTTCTCATGTGTTCACCTGGTTCTTTCCAGGATAGTGCTGGGAAGCAGAAGTTGGATGACATGGGCTTTTTCTTTTTAGTCCTGAACTAGCTTCTAAGTCTAAAAAGAGTCATTTTTCCTGGAAAATATGTTTGTTTTAAAAATGGTAATAGTCAGTGTCCATTCTTGGGATGCACAAATCAGAATGTACAATGAATTGCAAGAACAAGGGAGCCTAAATAGCTGAGAAATTGTATTTTGAATTATGTTGTTTGTTATCTATGAATCGCCGAAAGAAAGAGAAATGGAAGGATTGCTTCATGTTTGATAGTGTCAGTATTTTTCTATATCCGAGATAATTTAATGGGAAAGAAAAAATATGTATTAATCTGCAATATATATGAATAGGAGTGGGTAAGAATTATAAAGAGAATGCTTAAAAAAGCACACACAACTGCATTTGCTGCACTAAAACAAGAAGTTGGAGTATGTAAAAAGGGGTCTATTGGAACGTGATACCTGTTGTATTTCTGTACTATTTTATTTACAAGGAACTTCCGTTGCCAAAGCAGCTTCTTTCCTGTTGCTTTTCAGCTATTGAGAGGCCAGTTCTCGGCTGATGACTAATAGCAAATGTTGAAGTGATCTTGGATGAACATAAGCAAATGCTGACTCAGGTTACCAAATTCAAGTAATGACCTATGGGTCCATGTCTGCTCCGTAACAAGCCTTAGTATTCAAGACTAAGGTTTTCTTATGCTACGTGATTGTGCAGTTTTGAATTTAAAAACAAATCCAAAGAAACTGACGTTCTGTTAATAAATATTTTGGTAGTGTTGTTAAAAACCATTTCTTAACCGCATAAAGTAGTATGCTTCTGTGTTTGCAGATGCTGTGAAGCCCCCAGTCAGTTCTTTACAAGCATCTGCTGAGTTACCCTTGCCCATCAACACTTCACCGCCTTCCATGCAAGCAGAATCTTCCCTACCTCCTCCTTATCAGCTTATTAACATACCCCCACTGGAGTCTTCCTCTAGTCAAGAAGATCCTCAGGACTACCTACTGCTCATAAACTGCCAGAGTAAAAAACCGGAACCTATGAGGTAAGTTATGGTTTTCCTTAATAACACTTTTGTACAGGCCAAGAATGTTCGTGCTAAAAGCACTTTTTTTTTCTTACTAGGTCAATGAAAGTTTGGATGCCCATAAGCAGTGGGAGAAGTTGGCTGTAATTTTTGTTTCTCTTTTTTTGAACTTGTCACAATACAGAGGTGTTGGAACATTAGACTCGTACTACAGTCTTGAGAAGTGTGGAGAGTAATTCCTACTCTGAAGCGTCAGATTAACGTAGTGGTTCTAGGCTGAAAGAAATGTATATTTATTATGCACTGCTACTTTTAGCTTAAATAAATTTCTAGCACCTTCTACGTCGTTACCATAGGTTACATATCCTTCTATCTAAGAAATGTCCCTGATTTTTCAGAGGGCATAATGGCGGCAACCCTTGGAATGGGCTGCCCAGGAACTTAGTTGAATCTGTCCTTTGAGATTTAAAAGCAAGCAAACTAAACTTGATTGAATGAGGCCCTGGGGAACCTCACCCCTCTTGGAAATCCCCTTTTCTTAGAGGTATCAGAGGAGCTGGATTAGATGATCTCTAGAGCTCCTTTTCAGCCTTGAGTTCTTTGGGATAGAATTGTAAATCTCTTGCAAGCTGATCTTCTGCTCTAATTTAAAATAAAAATGTGCTGGGATATCTACACATAAATACGCAAAACTGCAGATTCTTTTTCTGATTGCAGGAAAGCACATTGAAAGCTGAGGAGAGCTATCATTGGAAAGCAGCTTTTTGAGCGTTTCCTACGGTCCCTTAGTGGCATACCTCTTAGTGACAATGCCTTCTTCATCAGTAGCTTGATGCTCTGACAGTTTTACCTGAGCCATATGCTCTCTACTTCCTTGGCATTTTTATATTGCTCTTGTGCCTGAGTAGCTTCTTTCTCTGTTTGCCGATGATTGCATGGTAGAAAAGTATCCACCCTTTACAGTCTTCGTTATAAAATGTAGGAATGAGCCTACAGTTCCCCTGGTGTGTGGAATGTGCAGCAGGTTAGAGGCAGCATGGCATGCCCCCAGAGCATCCTGTAGAGAAGGGGAAATCCAATGTGTGCTATGAATATTGAAATTCTGAATGTTTACTCATGTTTAGAAGCTGTTGGTGCCTGATAGGTATGTCATAGTTTCTGCCAAAAATTATCAAAACTTTTGGTTTTGTTTCCATAATGGCTTGGCAGATAAATCTTGGCTCGTTTCAGAGCCCTGAGTCATCAGAAAAGTCTGAGAACCCCTTTGTTTTCACGAGGGACAGGCACAGAGTGGATTTCCAGCACAAATGGAGAGTGTTTTTAAGAATGATCAAGGCTGGGATATGTAGTTGATTTTCTTGTACTTGTGTAGTTGGTATGACTTAAGTAGAGACGACAAAGTTTGAGGAGACCATAAAGGGACACAAAAAGGGGTGACGAATGGAGTCTGAATAACGTCCAAAATTACTTGAGGAAGACTTCAGAAGATTACAGGAGAAGATATTTGAATGTCTGGGGAAGATAGAATGTCCAGTGGAGATAAAAATGCCAAGGGAACTGAAAGAAGAACTGAATAAAGTCATGGGGAGCATAGAGGTTGTTAAAATAATAAGTTTCTTTGCGAGAGTATTTCAAAGCAATAAAACATTGGCAAGGTTATCAGTGGGGAATGGTATGGATTTCTGTGTTATAGTAAAGCAAGTTCACTAAATAGCTATGTCTCTTTATTAAGACGGATTTAATAATGAAAATTCAAAGCAATAGTTATGATGGAGTTTTTTCCATGTGAAAAGATTGCTCCTGTCATGTAAAAAGATTGCAGGTGTTTTGCTGGATGTGGTCTGATATGCAGGATATATTCAGTTTTCCTATGGAATTAGAGCTTAATGCATCTGCATAGCATGTTACTAAAATGGTGTTGGAAGGCACGATATACATTACCATAATCCACTAAATGTCTGCATGATTTTCCTATTCATTTCCAGATGTGGAGCATGCATCTATTTCATACAACCTTTATTTTAACTGGGGGAAAATTGTGTAAATGTTAATTAAAAGCAAAGCAATAGTAGATGGACGTTATTTAATTTATATATGGATTTTGTTGCTTGAATGTTTTTCTCTGCATTGTTTTCTCTTTAGATTTTAAAGTACCAGTATGCAGAGGGAATGTTTTCTGCTCTAACTTTGCATAGTACTTAATATATAATCTGGGAAGCACTGATTTTTCTATAAAGGCTTTGGAATTATCTTTTTTTCAGGTGAGGTGGGTAACCGAGAAATGTAGAGGCCGTGGTCAACCTCCCTTTTCAGAATTTGTAGTTTTTGTGTTTCAAAACTAACAATAATTTCAAAATGTTTCCTTACAGTGTCATGCAATGCATCATATAGACCTATTAGAATAGTTTGAACACAGTACTTATGGTTACAATTATCATGCTGTATTTTGTCTAAAATAGTTTTAGGCTCTGATCACTGTTGGCTTGAAAAAGAGTATTGTTTAACTGTAGCATTTAGTGAGAATGTGACGTTCATATTTGGATCATAAATAAGAAAATGAAGCCAAGGACTGTTTCCGAAAGTCTTATTGTTCTGGCTCATTCAAGATGTATATGGAAATAACGCTGTCTTCCTCGTTTTTCTTGTGTCTATGAAACAGCCAAGGGTCACCTTTTATCTCTGAAGAAGGGCAGGAATACCTTCTCTTAGAAGACTTTGAAAGTAAAAAGGTTCCACTGCAGTGAGTGAACAGTAGCTGTTCTTGGAACGTGTGTGAGAAATTAATTGCAGTGCCATTAACTTGCCTGAAAATATTGTTTGGAATACGTCTTGCATGGTGTTCAGTTTTAACAGAAAAAAAAAAAAACCTATGGAAACTTGGCTCCCATTTTCTGAAAATAGCTGTAATTAAGATAGAGCTGTTTTATTTACTTATTTATCTACATTTCTACTATGCTTGCTGTTTCTGTCCCAGATTGTTGGCATACAAGAGCAGTTTGTCTGCCACTTTGTTTATCGTTATTCTGTTTAGTCTGACGTATTTGTTCCTGCAGATGCAAAAAGAATCAGCTTGAAAGGATGAGTGGTCTGACGGGCAATCATCCCATTTTTTAATATGTTATATACTGTCTGGCTTGAAATCTTTTCTCCTGGGTTTCTGTCAGCAATCAGATTTTAGCACATGGTGTTAGGCTTTCTTATTTTGCCCCCGGTGCTTTATCTCTGCTCTGTGAATCTTAACACTCAGTTCTTATGGACTGGTAGGCTGTACAGTTATGAGTACTGGGTAAAGAACAGTTTGCTCACTTAAGCACTTTTTGCAGATATGTGATGCACACCTGCTAATACTGAGTTCATATCACAGTCATCTTCTGATTATAAATAGGGTTAGTTGTTGTTGTGTTAGATGTTACTTTGCATTCATTTGAAACTGAACGTTAATACTTAACATATGAGTGGAGGATTCAGCCCAGCCAAAAAGAACTCGGGAGTCTTGGTGGATCATAAGCTGGACATGAGTGACTCTGTGCCCTCACGGCCCAGGAAGCCAACCCTATCGTGGGCTGCTTCAAAATAATCATGGCTAGCAGGTTGAGAGAGGTGATCCTGCCCCTCTGCACTGCTGAGGCCTCGCCTGGAGTACTGCATCCAGATGTGGAGTTCTCAGCATGGGAGAGGTGCGGACCTGTTAGCTGTGGACCTCCTTAGAGGAGGGCCGCAGAAATGATCCAAGGGGTTGAACAGCTTCTGTGTGAGGAGCCCTTCACTGAGGGCTGGGGCTGTTCAGTCTGGACAAGAGAAGGCTCTTGGGAGACTGGGTAGCAGCCTCTCAATTTCTAAAGGGGGAATATAAAAAAGAAGGGGACTCTTTAGCAGTCTGTTGCAAAGGGGACAAGGGGAGATGGTTTCATACTAATAGAGGGGATGTTTAGATTGGTTGTAAAGAAGCAGTTTTTCACAATAAGGGTGGTAAGGCACTGGAACTGATTGTCCTGAGGTGTGGTGGAAGCCCCGTCCTCAGAGACGTTGAAGGTCAAGCTGGATCGGGTTGTGAGCAACCTAATCTAGCTGAAGAAGTCTGTTCATTGCAGGGGAATTGGACAATATAAGGGTCCCTTCTAAGTCAAAGGATTCTATGATTGCATGATTTATGTTGGAAAACATGCAGAGATGATCAAACGTTCTGTATCGGAAGTTTTTTCTTAAAAAAACAAGAAGTAAAATCTGTCCCTCATCTGTAGTCCTAATCTAACTTTTCTTGAGGTAACATGAATCAAGAATACAATAGTATTCTTAGATAGTATGTATTCTTTCTGCCATGTTCAGTGGTGAATACTGACTTCTGAAATCTATTTAAACTTCAGAGGGTCAGTTATGTTTTCATTTTGGCATAAACTGCTTTTGTGCCCCGTATTTCAGACCATCTTCAAGTTTTTGGTCTTGCTAAATCAGATTGGTTACAACGTGTTCCTATTTTAAAAACTTAATTCAATTGCCTAGAAAGCCAATTCCAAAAGATTACTTTAAAAAAAAAAAAAAAAAGTGGAGTAAATCAGAGAAGCCCTTTTACAATGAGATACGTATACCATTGCCGTGAGTAAGAAAATGACTAGCTACTTTGTGTGTTTGCAAGTGTTATGTTTTCACAAGTGCTTGTGTTCAAGAGAGAAGCAGCAGCATTTACTTAGGCCCAGGTAGCTCCTAAGTATTGCTTACGTGTGATGGGTGATGATATTATACGTGCGTTGTTGTTGCATCTTGAGTTTGGGTTATATATCCCTGCATGTGTTGCTTCTCTAGAGTCAAATATAACTTGGCATCATTATAATGTGTCTTAATGTCTGTAAAACCACCGTTGTGCCTAGAACTGCTAAGATTAAGGACATTTGCTTTGCTTTTGTGTGTGACAACGTTTCAAAGGTTGAGTTCTGGCGCATGGCTAAATGGATGAAAGTGATCCCAGTATGTGTACAAGCCAAGAATTGAAAAATAAGGTCAACTCTACACTTTTTTTGATTATGTGCATTTCTGTTTGCTTTTGGTAAGATGTATAGTAGTGCAAAGTTACACTTTGGTAAGTGTATAGTATATTATTCCATGGTTTTGGAAATACTTTCATGTAAAAGTATATCCTGCTGAACTGGAACTAATAATTTCAGTTCTACAATCAATTGTCAACATCTGCCCGCTTTATTTGTCTAGCATTTTAAATCTACATCACAGTCCTCAAGTAAAACAGTTGAGTTTTGCTGTGGGTTTGGTACAGATGAATGCTGCAGAACTAGAAGAGTTGTGTTGAAAGAGAGAAACTTTTGTATGAATACTTCAAGTGCAAGGGCTGCATCAAAGACTACGATCAGATCACATAATACTTTCACAACTGATAAAGCACTCTGTAACTTTATGTAGTTCCTTCAATCCTGTGTGCTGTATTTTTTGCAGTTGTGTTAAATTTGCAGCAGTTCATTAAAGAACTTGTTAAGCTCTGAGACAAAGTAAGTAAACTTAACAAAGAAACGTGTTTTGGATAGTTGATGGTATAAGGAATATTGGAAGTTTCACTTCCTTGCTTTTGCCAAGGATAGATACTTAATGAGAATATTTGGGAGTCTGTTAAACTAAGTGCAGGTTAATATTCTAAGTCACGTGGAAACTGGTTCTGACCGTTGAAGGAGAACTTAAATCTACATTAAAAATAGTAATCGGAGCAAAATTAGTATATATTTTAATATGAAAAAATAATATATAAAATAATTAAAAAAACACCATAAAAAAATATGTCATAAGTTAAAGCCAGAGGAGACCTCTTGTACACCAATCAGGCTGATGGATGATAGTATCAACTCTGTTAAACACAACAAAAATGTGTTAGGTGAAGAACATTTTTCTTGACTGCTAATGTCAAGTCTAAACTAATAACATCCGTTCCCTTGAGAGTTGGCACAGAGGCTCTTAGGGATTCATTTGTCATTTTTTAGGTGGATATCTGAGAAGAATGGCTTGTTTCACACTGTATCAATTTCTCCATAATGAATGAAGAGGAAACCTAAATGAATTGCTAAACTGAATTCCTTTCTCCCCAGGTTACTAGAACCCTGGGAGGTAAGAATCTGGATGTTGCTTAAGTAAGGAAATGTTTGATTTTACTGACAAATTGATGACCTTTAGTAAAGACCTTTAGTCTTTTAAAGGAAAAATAGTGTTGATTTGAATATTTTATTCCTCAGTGGCTTTGTAAACTGAATTGACCGATTGCTTAGTAAGGGTAGTATACCAGCTATTCATTGTTGCACACGCATGCTGAAGTATGCATGTACATATGTATAAACAAAAACAATATATGATTCTGTGGTAACGATAAAAGGAAATACCAGGATATGGTGGAAAAACTCTATCACCTCCACCTACATTAGTATTTCTGCAGTTGTCTTGACTTGCATTTAAGCAAGGATTCAGACTTAGAATCTCTCTTCCTCAAGCAAGGTAAATGGGGAGGTGTTACCCTCCCCCCATACAAAAAAAAAAAACAAACAACCACCAGTCAACAAAACCCTGAACCAAAAGACAGTTGTTTACTTTCTCTGCTCATTAGTACCAGTAATAATGAGAGATGTTGTCATAAAAGGGGGTCGTTCCAAAGAAATAAAGGCAGACAACTGTGCCATTTTGCCTGATGACATGGCCTTAACGTGTTCAGGAAAAAAATACTCTGTTGTTACATATATCATATGGATTTCTCTCTCTATCTTTTTCTCTTCTTTATAATGCATTAAAAAAATATATGAATACTTGAATCAGTTTTATTTGGTTAGTAGATAACGTCAGGGTGTTGCAAGCAGCCATATTTTATCATATTTTTTTTGTACTGATTAGAACTAGCAAGTGTTGTAAACTCAAGGATTGAATGCATTTTCGCTTTCAAGTGTAGTTGAAGTGCAGCTAGTTTGCAGAACTGATTAAAGGAATAAAAAAAAAAATTAAACCCAATCTTCAACTACCTAAATAAACAAACTTTGCTTTAGGTTGTCTTGACATCTTCCTGGAGATCACTTGCTTTATGAAATACCAACTTGCTGAACTGCTGCTAAAGTTACGTGCTTGTGCTGTTATCTATTTCACATGCATGGGTCTGTATATGTGCAATAACTTAAAGATATATGTGTTATATGTGCAATAACTTAAAAAAACTTAAAACCTTCTGAAGTAGTTTGTTTCATAATTGGGTTCCTGCATTTCATTTTTTAAAAGTTGGAAGAGACTGATGCACCTTTCAGCTGTCCACATTTTAAACATTTTTAAAACTATTTTGATGTTTCTTTTCTTTGTGTTCATCAACGTTTGAATCTCTTGTGTGTAGATCTCACGCTGACTCTGCAAAATCCAGCTCTTCTGAAACAGACTGCAATGATAATGTGCCCTCCCACAAAAACCCTGCTCCATCCATGAGCAAGCAAGCTGTGAATGGCTTTTTTCAGCAGCAAGGTGTCTATGACTCTCCGCCTTCTCGTACTGGACTACCATTGGCAGACTCCAGCCTTTATAACCTGCCTAGGAGTTACTCGCAAGATGTTTTACCGAAGGCAGCATCTCCAACAGGGACTGATGCAGAAGGCGAGCAGCATGTTTTCAATACGCCATCAGCAACATCGTCATTAGATGCACAGATGAGGCACATCTCCATTAGTTACGACATTCCCCCTACACCTGGAGGTACTTATCAGATTCCACGAACTTTTCCAGAAGGAACGTTGTCTCAGACTTCAAAGTTGGATACTATTCCAGATATTCCTCCACCTCGGCCACCGAAACCTCACCACGCTGCAGATCGATCTCCTGTGGAAACATGTAGCATTACTCGCACAGCTTCAGATACTGATAGTAGCTATTGTATCCCTACAGCAGGAATACCACCCTCACGCAGTAATACCATTTCAACTGTAGATCTGAATATCTTTCGTAAAGGTCAGTGCTCCCTATTTTACTTAGCTCTTCCAGATTCTTTTAATGCTGAATGATAGTAGTCTTACGAAGAAAGATGAGGTACATGCGGGTTGAATAATGAGTGTTGCTTTTGTCCTTCAGAAGCGAGCGTGTGGCACTTCACAAAGCACTCACTGAAGTCTCAAATATGTAAGAAACCAGAGAAAGACATGTTTATTAAAGGAAAAGCATCAAAGTAGCAAAGTGCAGAACATTGATAAAGGCTACTCCACTGTGGCATTCAGTTTCAGCTGAAAGTATTCGAAGTGCTAGACATTTCAGTGGCTCTATTAGTATTACAAAACAGCAGTGGAAAACTAAGCATTGTTTTTTGCTATTAAGGTCGTATAGCTGAGTTCAAAACTGTTGCTATCAGTCTGTCGGAACAATCAAGGTAAGGTTCACATATAGTGACCAAAATCTGCAGAAGCTGGAGGTTCAGTGGAATTTGGTATGCACCAAGAGCTTTGAAATCAACCCTGAACTGGTTATTGACGCCACAAAACTTTCTCTCCTTGTGTTAACGTGCATACAAAGCTTTTAAAGTAAGTTGTTCCTTCTAGCCATTTAAATGTCAGCATTGCAGACTTGCTAATGCATTAGTGTTGTTTTTCCTTCAGCAGCTGGGTATGTTTCTGGGTACTAGCAAATCCGGTGGAGCTACTTTTACTTTAGAAAGACTTCAGTGTTTCTTGTTTTTCTGCTTGTTTGTTTTGTTCCTGTTCTTATTCTCTCAGATTTAAAGTAAAGAAATGCAGTGAAAGGCTGAGTTTGGAAAGTGATATTTACTGTTACAGACATCAGTTGTTGTTGTCTTACTAAAACCTTCTGATCTAAGAGTTTCCTGAGGCAGTGGGTATAGATATGTGACTTCTAGAGTCTAATTTTATACTGGTTGGAGCTCGTGCTGATGTTTGTGGGGAAAGTTACAGTGCCTATGGGATGGCAGGCAAAAATGATGGGGAGGGGGGAAGCCTTTGGAGCTCTTTTTCTAGGTCAAGAGGAGAATGAAACAGACTTCCCCCCCGAGTTTCTGTCTTAATGTCAGTAGAAGCAGGCTTGTTGAGAAGTAATGCAAGCTGTTGCCTGCAACAAGTGAGTGGGACCCAGGAGCTGGGGGCAGAGTATTTCACAAAAATCCTAGTGCTCCAGAGAGGCAGTCACGAAGGTGAGGACCTTCTTAATGTGGAGTGCTGAGAGCCAGGGCCCTGAGAAGCACGAGGTATTTTGGTTCTGTCACTTACTCAATCTGAAAACCCCAGGAAACTTACAGGGGAGTTGAGAGAAGAGTGGTGGGATGTAAGAAGAATTTACCTGTTATTGCAGTGAATTAATTTCTGTTGAATCAGCACTTTCTAATCAAGTGTATTCAGTCAGAAGACCTCGCTCTAGACCCTAAATTACATCTGTTGTTTATTTATTTTATAGTAGGTTTCTCACGAGAGCCTTCTATCTCAAAATATACGGCTCTTACAGTAAAGTTTTATGCCTGCCTATTTGAAAGGAAGATTTAGCTGGTTCTTTACAAGGAAAAATTACTGGGTTTTACTTTTTTTTTTTCTGATATGGAAACATCACTATAAGATTTTCAAGTTGATTGGCAAGTGCTGAGTTCATTTATGATCATAGTCATCTCAAGTCTATGGATAAAACCTATTGGCCACAGCTTTGGGAGGTGTGTTTGCATGGTGTTTTAGAAGCAGACAGTAAATAACAACAAACTCTGGATGACTGGTGCCAAGGGATGGGGAACAGGAATGATGAATAGCCACTTTCTCTTCTTATTTCTTTAGAAATTAGTTCTCAAGACTGTTATGATATTCCACGAACGTTTCCGAATGACAGATCTAATTCATTGGAGGGCTTCCATAACCACTTTGTAAGTATGATGTGACCTTATGAGAGACAACAGTAACAGAGCTTTTTGTTTCTGTGTAAAAAAGCAAGGTGTACAGTGTTTGTGATTTTCAGTTTCAAACTAATTTATTAATCTGAGTAGCTTAGGTGGTTAAAAGATTCATATGATTCACAGCTGATTGCGAAACTTATTTTGTTAAAGGAAATATATGTTAATTCTAGAAAAACAGAAGCATGTTGACAGTGGGAAGTGTTTCAAGTGAAGAACTAGATGAAAATTATGTCCCAATGAATCCCAACTCTCCTCCACGACAGCATTCCAGCAGCTTCACTGAACCCATCCAGGAAACAAATTATGTTCCAATGACACCAGGCACGTTTGATTTTCCGTTATTTGGAAAGCAAGTCCCTCCTCCCTCTCACATGGGTTTCAGGTCCAGTCCAAAGACCCCTCCCAGACGGTCAGTGCCTACTGAAAAATGTGAACCACCGCCAGTGGATCGGAACCTCAAACCAGACAGAAAAGGTGAGGAAAATATCCAATAGAAGTTGATTTTATCATCTAATAAGATATTATCGCTCTTACAACTTCTGATTAGTGGGGAATAATTTTTAGAGAACTTCTAACAAAGGAATTTCGGCCCAATTTATGTATAAAATTTCTAGGATGTTTCTTAAGGATGATAATACATCACAGTAGCTGCCAAATACAAACTTGAGTTTAGATTTCAATTCAAAAACTACACAGAATTGCTAACACTCAAGTATGAGTTCTAGTCTATGCAGAGAGGACAGCTGGCTAACTTATAATGGAGGTAGCACATAAGGAACAGCATAGAATTTACAGATGTAGCAGCTCTTGATACAGGGTCAGTACATGGTTCCATTGTGTGATGTAGATAACTTAGGTATTTTATGTATTTGCTTTTGATCTAAACATTGTTAGCAATTAATAATGAGTGGCATATTTTGCTACTTTTTACTCAAGGTATGCAGTATTTTTTTATTCAAAGTATGCAGTAGTTGCAGAATAATTCTTACAAATGTGTTTGTTTAAGGATAATATTAGCTTCAAGGAAGTGTTTGCTGATGAGTACGTAATGTTGTCTTCAACCTGTAAAAACAAGGGAAATCACTTGATGTTGAGGTTGGCCAGTGTTTGAGATGTAGCAGCCATACGAGGCAGAAAAGATATTGAATGTGGGCTATGAGGTTACCATAGATATTCTTTTCTTGAGATCCAAGTGTGAGGAGGAAAGTGTCAATTCAAACCTGCTTTTAAGGTATGTTTGCTCTATCACATGAGCTGGGTACCATGTTGTTTGTGTAAACTCAGTAAGTAGGCTGCAATAGATGAACAGTTAGGAAGCAAAATGAGAACTGGTTCTATGTGGAAATACTTCAAATGACTGAATGTATGAGAGAAATCTTAAGAGTTTTGAAGCTGTAATAATGACGACAAAATTGAGGGAGGAGCGCACAAATTTTAGAGGGCTTCTCCAAATCTATTCTGAAAAAACAAGAGTGCATCTCTTAAATCTGGTGCACTATGTTTACTTGGCCTTAAAGTAGACGATTATTTAGGTGACTTAAGTGATGGACTTAAGAAATAGATATCATTGTGATGTATCCATATTGAGAGTACGTACTGAGAATCACTAATAAATAGCTTAGAATTCCCAGTCAATGTGAAATATTTTATGAGAAATACCTTTCTTCTAGAACTGGGAACTAAACAAATGGTCAGTGTCTGCAGAACTTTGTAGCTCCTTATTTTCAGAATTACGCATTTGAAAAGAGTATTTAAGTTGAGAGTGGCTGACTTCATTTTGGAGGAAAAAAATCAATGTTTTAATCAGATGATCCAAAATATTAATCTAATTAAAACTTTAAATTACTATTTTTTTCCTTATAAGTGTAGACAGTCTTGTGCATAATTAAGCAAAGTGATAATATCATTTTGATACAGATGATCACAGTGTAAAACAAAGTGCTGCATCTCATTCTGACTGTCTGTGTTCAGAAAGTGAAACATGGCCTTTTTCAGAACCATGGTTCTCTGTTGTGTCTGTGTTAGCAGAGAGCAGCTCTGTTTAGTTTTTAAGAAATACTGGACAGTAATAGAATGAAACTCAGTGCTGGAAAGTATTCTCGAAATAAATAGTGAGCTGCTTTGAATTATTTTTTTCTGACTTTCAGGTTTGTGTATTCTACTGGTGAAATGCTTGACTGTAAATACAGTTAAGAAGCTTTTCGACATTAAAACTTGTTTTGCTGTTGGTGATGCAAAGCAGTCACATAGATGTCTGCTGAGGCAGCATTGTTAATTTTGAGACTCTCTTCTTAAAAAAACTGAGCGTTTCACCTTGTGAAAGTGCTGTGTGAGGATTATGCTTCACTCCTGCCCTCAAATGCTTTGCAGCTGAGAAGCCCTAACTAACAACAGGGAACAGTTTTTTAGGTTAGGAGGCTAACACGTCTCCTAACAAGTGTAGAGGTGCCCAGTGTTGCTCCTGCTGACTGGCTGTACTGGCTGGGGGAACAAACAAATGCTGCAGAAAGACCTTGAGTTACCAAGAATGGCAATACTTCTGATTTATTAGCGAGGATTTTATCTTAGTAAAACGCACATGCAGGCATACTCAAATTCTCTCAATTGTATTACTAGAAGTTTTCCAGTGTTGTGAAGAGCAGATATGATGACGCCCCAGGGTGGCAATGTTGTTCTCATTGCACAAATAACTTCCTGAAATATTTTTGGGAACATCAAACTTCCGTTCTTTTTGAATTAAAATAGAATAAAACTTCTGATTTAGTGGACCCTTAATTAATGAAAGCAAATATGTGCTTTACATCCTATTGTGGTGTTTTTTCAGCTTTCAGGTTCTTTTAGCAAATTTTATTATCAACTTGTTTCTGCATTATATAAATGTTCTGCAGTGGTGTTCTGCTACAAATCAGTACACAGAAAATAGTAAGTGGGTCAGTATGTTCCATAATATCTAGGTAGGCGTAGAAATGGGCAAATGGTATGTAAAATAGTTGAGTTCTGAATACTGTTCCTTGTAGTATTTTTTTGTGATGAATTCAACATTTTCTGTTGTAGACCATCACTAAAAATGGCATGATTGCCATTACTGAGATCAGGTGTATTGATTTTAAGGCTTCTGGGCATATGAGGGCATGTTGTATTCAGTCAGAAGAATCAGCTGTATTTTTTTTATCAGTTGCAGATACTGCTGCAAAAATACTATTTGTGTTGCCAGCAACAGTTGTTTTTGCAGATATGTTTGTTATTGAGAAATACAGTTATCACCTATATCTTAAACAGTGGCTCAGTAATGTTCCTGTGTGGAGCAGGAAAGTTTGTCAAATTTGGTTCAAAATTGTGGTGCTGGATGTAGAACAGAAATAGCACAGAGGAATTACCACATGAAGAAGGAATGCACTGTTCCTAGTTGTCAGATATATGTGCTTATGTATCTTCTCTATTTTTTTGTTCATTTTAAGACGTTGGAATTTTACAGGCAGTGTAGTTTGGCAATAGGAGCAAATGAATACAAGAATGCCAGAGTCTGTTCTGTCATACGTAGCCTGCTTTCCCTTCCAGTGTTTCTGTTTTGTGAACCTGAGACAAAATAAATGCTTGATTACTTCAGGTTCTGTGGTCTTTGGATAATAACATTATTGGGCGACAAAAATCTGTCCATCTGTCAGCAGGTGACATAATTACGTCAGCAGTATAGACTGCAAGGTGCATGACTTCACTGCTCTGGGTAACTCATAAAATTGTTAACGCTCTTCTCTGTCCCAGTTGTGATTGAAGAGTGAGTTATGAAAATCAGTAATATCAATAACTAAATGTGGGTAATATGTATGTATAAAAGTCACTAAATTATGTGCGTGTTCTGTGCGCGGACACTTGCTCACCCCTGCTTTGCCAGATGTTCTTCAGTAGGAAGAGACTGGGCAAGAAGCCATGGTGAGGTGTGAGATGCCCTGTGTCATTTTGATCTGGTTTCCAGAAGAGCTTTGTTTTTTGAGCATGGGGTAAAAAACTACAACAACAAAACCAAAACACGGGAACTTCAGGTTGCATCTTCATGTAGTTTCACTTCTCTGGATTACCACTGCTTCTATATGTAAGTAGGGGGAGTTTCCAGTACTTGTCTGCAAGTCTTAAAAGTAATTTCAAAACATTACGTTGGCTTCCTGCCCCTATAGCTTGAATCAAACACTTTACTCTTTCTTTAGAGAAATACACCAAAAGGTAAGTGATGTATTACCAGGGACAAAATGGAGAGTATTTGGCCAGATGTTTTTCCGCAGTCACCTGTAACTGAATGACAAAAATTATATTTTAACAAGTGGGATTTCTTGGAGTGCTGTTTTTTTAAAATTATGATTTATTTCATGTAAAGTCTGCATAGTATTTCTGCTTTTTGGCTCTTTGGCTTGCCATGGTTGCATGCAATCCTGATGCTAAGTTTGAAGCACTGCTGCTAGCAAAAGGCTTTATCCGGAGGACATGTTACAGCTATCCCTGCAGTTAAATTACTTTTCCTGAATTGTTAAAAGTCTGTGACAGGTTCCATGACAGAGTGGTTCTGTGGCAATTTTTTTTTTTTTGGAGGCAGTCATACATTCATGTTCCTCCTTCAAAGTGCCGTTTATCAAAGAAGGGCCAGTATAGTAAAAAGTATATAAATGCAGTGAGGTGAAGACTCCCTAGAAGGCTAAGGCTGCAAAGAACAGGCAAGTTCTCTTCTGTTCCACCATGTGCTTTCATAGGGCTCTTCAAAATGTGTGGTATGAGGCAGTGCCTCCTGCCATCACTGCTCCACAAGGAACAAGTCTATGTAGTGAAAGAAACTGAACAGACAGGTCTCAGGTGGCTGTGTTGACAGTCCATGAGAAAGTTTTAAGGCCTGACAGAGATCTGAGAGTTAAGACAATCTTTGATACAAACGTGATGTTAAGTCCCAGATCAAGGAAAGCACATGCTTGAAAATGAAAGGGGCAGAGGGTTGGTTCAGTAGTACTTTGTAGGTCAGGACAAGGCTGAGCAGCATGTGAGTGAGACTGGGTATCCGTGGGTCTCTGTGCACAATAATGACACCCCCAAAGTGTTTTGTTTCAGGGTAAAAGATCATGTTTGTTCTCTTAAAGCAAAATTTTAGGATCTTTTTTAAGTTTTGAAAAATATTTCTTTAATAAAGCTGTGGAGGAATCCTTCAGGATGTATAATATCTCTAGTATATGTTGTGCATCTCTTCATCTGTGATGTTCAGAGTTCTTAAGATTGTGTGTGTTTTCAGTCTTGGCTGACAAAATGTATTTTTTCAATTTTATATTAAACAAGTTGATGGAATTAACGGTGGTGGAATGTAGTTCCTTCAAGTCTTGATTTGGTGCTTTACTTATTGTAACTTGGCAGCTTCCATTTTCTAAAGCACGTGTTTATGCCAAAGTGAATTTTTTTTGAGGTTCTAGAAAGGAAAATATGAACTATGAGCATGTGGCTGA